GACATATCCAGCTCAAGTAAATTTTAATGTTCAGGCTTGTTTCAGCACTTTGATACCATCTCTCTGTATCAGAGTTCCCAGTCAGAGATGATTTTGTAACTGCTGGGGACACTTGGCAATGTCTGCAGACATTTTTGGGTGTCACAAGTAGGGATGTGTGGGTACACAGGCACCTGGAAGGCAGAGGTCAGGGATGCCACTAAACATTCCGCCACGCACAGGACGGCACCCACAACAAGGAAATATCCATCCCAAATGTCAGCAGAGGTCGAGAACTCCTACTCCCTCTAAGTACAACCTTATGGTTGTCATAATAAGATCGAAATTGCCCTTGTGATCTTGATGTCCTCGCGGAATTTTGTGGCCATCTAACTACATTTCACGTCTTGTTAAAATTACTTTATAAAAAAGTAGAATGGTGGTTGCCAGGGGCAGGGGAGTATTAGGTGAGTTTCTTGATCTGAAATGTGGGAAGGAGCAAGGTTATGCTTGTGGCCAGTTACTCTCACTCTGTTGGCCCCAGACTTGGTGTAACCTCAGTGTTTCCTTACCTGGGGGAGAGTATAAAATGAGGGAGATATTATGTCTAGGGCTGGAGGAGTCCAGGAAAGTTTACACGGGAAGAAAAAGCAACAGCTTCAAATAATATGGGAATCGAAGGATGGGTGAAAGTTCTACAGGTTGGGATGGGAAATGGAGATAAACGCCAGAAGGGTGGATGGGAAGTGGAGAACATTCAGACCTGGGAAGGTGGCACTAACCCAGGGGAAGCGGATAGTGACAGGCGAGGTGGAGCGGGGAGCAGGCAGGTGGGTGAGAGGCTAGAGCTTCCCAGAAGACAGTGAACAATCACTGAGGATTTGTGAGTCGGAGGCTGAAATCGGAGCCATGGCGATGACAGACTCACCTGGTGGTGGGTGTGGGAAACCTTGGAGTTGGGAGAGGCTAGAGATGGAGAAGGGGTGGAGGGGCTGTTACAGCTTCCACAGCAGCTTCTGCTAGTCATGAGGGCCCAAGTGGACCAGGCTGGTGGACCACGTCAAGGTAGTAATTGCCCGAAGTATTTTTAAAAAGATTTTATTTTATTTATTTTTAGAAAGAAAGGAAGGGAGAGAGGAAGGGAGGGAGAGAAATATCGATGTGTGAAGGAAACATCAATGGGTTGCCTTTTGTATATCCCAAGCAGGGACCAGGCTGAACCCAGGCATGTGCTCTGACTGGGAATCAAACCAGCCATCTTTTGCTTTGAGGGTGATATTCAACCAATTGAGCCATTCCAGTCAGGGCTGCCCAAAAATTTTAATTACCAATGGATGATACTTGTTTTCTATTAAAATAAAATTTGAAAATATCAAGTAGAATTGGACTAATTAGAGATCGTATCGGCTCTAGAGAAAGTCCTGAAAAATAAGCATTCAAAAATCTCCTTTAGTACTATGGAATATTACTTGGCCATTAAAAGAGGGAAATCTTACCCTTTGCAACAGCATGGATGAACCTGGAGAGCATTATGCTAAGTGAAATAAGCCAGTCAGAGAAAAACAAGTACCATATGATTTCACTTATATGTGAACTCTAATGAACAAAATTAACAAATAAAATAGAAACAGACTCATCAATAGAGAACATACCAACAGCTGTCAGAGGGGAGGGAGATTGCAGGGCTGGGGGAAAAAGGTGAAGAGATTAAGAAAAAAAGAATTCACAGATACAGACAACAGCATGGTGATTACTGTATCACCGTTACTGTATTTGCATGGGCAGAGGTAGAAGAGATAATGGGGGGATAAATGGTGATGGAAGGAGACAACTTGGAGTGGTGAACACACAATACAATATCCAGATGATATAGAACTGTACACCTGAAAACTACATAATTGTATTAACCAATGCCATCCCTATCAATTCAATTGAAAAAAGAAAATAAAAATCTTCTTTAGAAGGTCAACAAGTTTAGGGATGTTTGCTGTGGAGTGGGAGTGATAAGTATTCATTCCTTCTCTCTATCAAAACATGCTGCAGATGTTGGTGATTATAGGTTATTTCTTTTTAGAAGGCTGAGAGGAGCCTCGGATATTTTCTGTTTGGGTATGGCAGATAGGTTTCTGTCTTGCATGCCAACGCCAAATCAGCAGTATCGGTGGTAGCTGGCTGAAGAAGCAGCCAGCTGCACTGAGAACGATTTTGAGGGCACAGATGCTCTGGCTTAATGGAAAAGCATCTTGATGCATTAGCAATGCCTTCCCCGGGCACATTTTGGGAAAAGAAAGCACATGTGCTATGCGTTTTCCACTTTCAATTCAAACCTCTTATTTTACAATGGAAAAAGCTCTTTTTAGAGAGGTCATGTGACTTTTCCAAGCCCACATAGATAGTAAAAATTAAAGTTTGCCATGAAATCAGATCTAATTTCATGTCCGTTGTTCTCTCCATTACTCCTTACTGACTGGGGTCCCACTGTGGCCCCTCTCTCTCTTCCCTAATGGTGTGTATGTGTGTGTTTTGAGAGAGTGGGGAGGGGCTGGCCCTTGCCTCTGCTAAATCTTTTCTTCTAAACCTGCAGGGAATGGGCAGATGCAAAGTCTACTCATTCTGAGTGTCCGCCTCCTAGGATCAAATCGAGGCCAGTTGACCAGCCAACCTCTAAGGGCCCTTCAAGACCTGAAATAGTCTCTTTACACACAGTAGGTGCACCATAGTTACTGAATTGAACTAAAATGGAATTTTCTCCAGGATAGCAACATTTGGCCTAGTCACATTTTACAGGAAAGGAGCAGGAGGACGGCACAGTGATATGCCTTTGGACAGCATTGTTACCTTGGACTCTTCTTGATAAAACTGTGGAGTTACAGGTTGGATTGTGTCCCCTCTAAATTCATATATCGAAGTGCTAATTCCCAGTGTAACAGTATCTGGAGCTAGGGCCTTTAAAAAGGTAGTCAAAGGTAAATGAGATCATAAAGGTGGGCCTTAACCTTGTATGACTGATAAGAGAGAGAGAGAGCGAGCGAGCAGGGGTCTGCATGAACAGAGAAAAGGCCATGAGAGGACACAGCGAGAAGAGAGCCATCTGCGAGGTGAGGGCAGAGGCCTCAGGGGAAACCAGCCCTGCTGATAGGTTTTGGCTTCCAGCCTCGAGGATACTGGGAGGGTGAGTTTCCGTTGTTTAAGGCATCCAGCCTGTGGTGTTCTGTTATGGCAACCTTAGCAATCCAATGCAGATGGTTTCCTCAATTATCTGAGGATGGAACTGGCAGATCCCAAAGTCCTTCGCTTTTTCCTCCTCTAGTATTACTGGATATTTATGATTTGTGGACATTTAGATTGTTAGCAGGTCTACCTCTACAGAGAAAGCTCCTCTGGAGAGCTGGAGCAGAAAGCAGGGCATGGAACCTGTCAGTCAGAAAACGTGAGGTCTTGGAGAATGGTCCAGTCTCCACCAAAATTCATGGTCCCCAAAGAAGCCCAACTGCATATGGTGGATCTGTCCTCTTGTTTTTTAAAAACTCACTGCCACCCTGCCCAGGACTGGAATACATAGCTTGTGGGTCTGGTGAAAAATGAAAATGTGGGGTCTCCTTTTAAAAAATTATTAAGCCTATCAAGATGGCAGCAGTAGAGAGTTAAACTAAGCATGAGTCCTGTGCAGCTGCACAGGCTGAATGTCCAACGCCACCGCCGTGCTGCCTGTCACAGCCTCCTGACAGCAACAAGACAAACCTATGTTGTCATCCCCAATATGGTAATGTTCCAAAACAGGGGTCCCCAACCTCCAGGCTGCAGACTGGTATTGGTCTGCAGCCTGTTAGGAACTGGGCCATGAGCAACGCTCACCTGAGTCCCACCTCCTGTCCACCCAGCCGCTCACCCTCCCATCCCCCCTACTCTCATCTACAAGTTCCTGGTGCCCAAAAGGTTGGGGACTGTTGTTATATAACACACTGACTTTTAGTCCATTTTGAATTGGACTAATTCATAATTAGTAATTGAATTACTAATATGGCTAATACTTAATCCGTAAATTGAGATCAGGACTCGGTTTTAATTGCAAGGAACGGTGTGTGACAAAAACTTGGTAAAGTTCATTTCTCTGAAACAGGTAAAGTTTAAACACCTTTTATTTCAAGAAATAATGCTTCTAGGCTTTCCTGAAGCCAGAATTGTTCTATAAAAGTATCACAGAATATTACACAAGATTAAAAAAACACAGTATGCTTCCTAATAACTTGAAGCCTTTTTACAAAGCACATCATTCATGACCATAAATATGTTTCTTCTGTCATTCAGCCGGTGACACACACATCTGATAAAGAGCTAGTTAATTTTAACATATGTACAGAGTCTATAATAAAGACTTAAAGTTATCAAAGATTCAACTATAACATATTAAATTTTCTTTAAAAGAGTTTACCTTAAACACTTAAAGAAAACATAATTTACCTATGTGTTTGTATTATCTAAAAAGAAAATCACTGTTAAGCTATTACTGGGAAGTTGGTTAGGATACTGATAACTTTCAATGAGGTAATCCTTTTGCTGGTATTTAAAAATCTGATACATAATAAGAATACTTTCAAGAACACAATGGGAAAAGCAGTTTTGAATGCTGCCTTTAAAAAAAATCAGAACTTGGTCTTTAAAGTAATCATATAACACATATGGTGTGTTTAAATTATGAAACTTTCATGAGTGTGTTTTATTGGAAAAAATGCTTTATGTAAATTCAAAATGAAATATATTTTCTTAACACTTATGCTTATTAGCTAGGTCAAGGAAACAAAACTAAGATGGAAAAAAAGTCTTTAGTCCTTTTATCCTGTTATGAAAATAATAAAAATTCAGCAATCTTAAGCATATGATGAACACTTTGAGGCTAGGCACAGAGAGAGCAGGCAATCTTTGCTTTGCCTATTTATTTTTACTGCCAACATCATTAGCCATGCCTTTCTGCTAATCAATTTTAGCAAGTCAAGGGAAAACATGCAATAGTTTCTGGCAAAAGCGTATGTTAAACAATATGGGATCCATACTGTGTGTCGTCCTTAGGGGTCTATTTCACTTTGTCACACTGAGAACAAGCAGTGAGACTGTGATAAGCCTGCAAAAAAAAAAAAATTAGACTAACGAAATAGACATGGCATTTAGATCTCAAAGTGCAAAATCATTGACCTAAAGAGTGATGGCATTGAAAAATTCCAGTGGTTAAAAATGAATCCAAACCACATGACACAGGCGGTAGAAAGTGAGTTGAAAGATTCACTGCGGCTGTCCAGTTTCAGAAACTCAGGAAGGCACAGTTCTAGCCATCTTGTTAGGATAGCATTTATAGATGCATGTCCCCACAACTTTCCAAAGATAATACTGTTTTAGTATCCCCTAAACCAACAAAAAACCCACAAATCACCTTTCTCCCTATTCTTGACACATAGTGAATTACAACACCAAGTTTCTGTGCGTCTGCTGACATGCACACTGACTTCTACTGCACATAGGTACCTAGGGTAGCTTGGAATGTTGGCTGTCGTGATTGCCTTTATTAGTTTACTAATAAAAAGTTAAAAACAATACTGTGTTTAGGGTACGGTAACAATTTCATCTAGTCAGTCCCCCTTCTGTGACTTTTCTCCACCTTGTTTGACATGCTCTCCATACTGCTGAAGTTGATAGGCTTCTCCAAGGTGGACACTTTGCCTGATGAGTGGAATCCACGTCAGAATGCACAGGAAGATACACTGATCTTCGACACATCTCCGGGACCACCATCCCGGGGAAGTCCTTTCCGGTGCCAGCCTGGGGCTGGGCTTGAGCACCAGCATGGGCATGTCACTGCCACTGAAGTCAGGTTCAAGATGACTCAACTCTTCGTGCTCCATCTATTTGGCAGTTTTATGATTTCTCCAGTGTTCAGAATTCAAACGACAACTTCTGGAATGTCGTTATTCCATTCAAGTTTACTTTCTGGACTGAATGTTGATCGGTTCAAATGCAGGGTTCAAAGGTCGGCTGGCAAGGTTGAATGAGGGGCTTCCCCAACCATACGGCTCAGGTCTTCATCTGACTCGGTGGAGGCCATCTCTACCGGCGCAGGGAGCTCAGCAGATACAGCCGGGAACCCATCACTTTGAGCAGTTTTAGTCTTACTTGTTTCATTTTGCTCGTGGTAACCGTTCAGCAGTGCAAATACTCTATCTATGTCCTCCAGGTAATTTAGTCCAGTCAACCAGACTAAGTCTGTAGTTCTGTCTGTACTCATAGACACTTTCATTCATGCTGTATAAATCCTCCAGGCCTTGCCAGCTGACGTCTACAGTGGGACTGGGAAGGTTAACCTTCCCACCCATCCCATAACTGTCCTCTGTGAAGAGACATGAAGGTAGATCATTAGTGGGGAAAAGATTTCCTATTTCTGGACTAGCAACTTACATTGTTTTTACAGAGCAAATCAATTTGAAGCATACCACTAAAAAAGTATTTTCCCCTAGTAATTTTACCAAGGAGTGGCCTTAGGTTATGAAAGTGATTGAATACTAACAAAAAAATGGAAAGATCAAAAAGTGAGAATTGCTATGACGAGGCACAAGCAGGGGGCTGGTTTCACTCCTGGCTCTGGTCAAGCCAACTCTGTTACCATGAAATTATATGAGTGAGTGTCTCTGAGCCTGGGTCCCTCATCTGCCAAATGTGGGACTACTTGTGTGATAGTACCTTTACTACTTGTGGGGTTGCTGGGTGAATGATGGATTTGAAAGTACTTTAATGTAATAGGCAGTGCTTAGTAAGATATCTTTATTTTATATTCCCTGGTACTCAGAATAAAAACAAACGAATGCAATTAAACTTTTCAAGTCAATTGCTTGAATCTGTTTCTTTGTTGTTGTTTTTCCCTACGAGTCCTATCCCGTAGGTAGATCAATTTTTCAGTGGTTGTCACAGTATGCAAAGACTGCACCCACGTTCTCTTAGATCTTCCAACATCATCGAGGTGACTACAGACCTGCAGAAAACATCTTTTCTTTAGTTGTGCCAAAGTACTGCTCTAAAGAGGTGGCCGACATTAATGCAGTGAACTGCCCACAAGCAATATAGATTGGCAGGAAGAATAAGTAAAACTATACAAAACCCAAAATCTCAGTTTAAGCAGAAGATAGAAAATTATATAAGCTTCAAATCACCTGTAACTAAAAAAAAAAAAAAAAAAAAATCTCAGTGGAGTTGTACGTCACACTTTGGGCACACCCCTAGAAAGTAGTGTGGACGAGAGCAAAGAGAAGCGAGGGTAGAATTAAAATTGATTTGAAACCATCGCTGGAAAGAATGACATCCTGAGGTATAAAATACTGTCGAGTCCTCGTAAGTCACAGAGGGGACCATGAGAAAAGGGCTTCGGTGTGCGCAGGTGGAGGAGGCCGCCTGCAAGGCGCTGCTTCGGGAAGAAAGGAATCGAAAGGAAGAGAGAGTTGGGTGATCAAGGAACAAGAAGACAAAAGAAGGGAAATTCCAGATCCTGCAAGAAAAATAGAAAAACAAAACATTGGGAGGACACACAATCTTTCCCACTCCTACCTTTAAATAATAATAAAATAAAGATGTAGAAAGTATACATGGCTACATTGACAGAAAAAGATCCTCTTAAATTAGGAATTTTGCAAATATATCGAATCCATGAAATTAATAAAAGAAGCCTAAATCTATACAAAATTATTATAAAATAAAAGAATAAGAATAAAATATCCATCATTTTATGAACATACCCCTGCAAAAGTTCTGAAGTGAACTTTTAAACTGAACAATAAACTGAAAAAAGCCACAATGCATCACTGCAAAGTGAATGAAATCAAGTACGTGAGGATGTGAAAACCACTTTATTTTATTTTTAAAAGTGAATTTCATTTTATTTTATTTATTTTTACAGAGAAGAGAAGGTAGGAGAAAGAGAGGGAGAGAAACACCGACATGTGAAAGACACATCAAATGGTTGCCTCCTGCATGTCCCCAACTGGGGAACTGGCCTGCAATCCAGGCATGCGCCCTGACCAGGAATTGAATCAGCAACATTTTAATTTGCAGGACAATACCCTGTCCACTGAGCTACACCAGTCAGGGCATGAAAACCACTTTAAATCAGAAATTAAAATATGAGCTAAGGATCTTATACTCAGCCACGCTCTCTTTCAAGTATCAAGGCTGTAGAAAAACAGTTTTAAGAATGTAAGAATGCAGGAGATATCTATATATTAGTTTTTCTTGGAAAGTTTTCTAGAGGATCAGTTTCATCCAAAAACATCAGTGGGGAAACTTCAGTGATTTTATATTAAAGTGGTAAGCCTTTAATATATGGAGCAGGCAAAGTGGGTTTAGAGTTGTTCATAAGGAATATAATATAATCATAAATAAATAATGATACAAGAATAAATTCTGTTTCTCATTTTCACAACTATAAACCTACTTTTGCTCATCCATGTATTTATCAGATCTACTAGTAAAACAAAGGTGGGGGAGATAAAAATACATTTATACATTTTATAGGACAAAGTGGAAATAATGAAGCTAGAAATGAGAGTAAAAAATAGAAAAGCTGAAAGAGAAGCAGCTCATTGAGCGTGTATTTCAATCAATAGCTGGGAGTCAAAAGACACCATTAAAAACTGACAAAAGAGATAACAAAAGATTAAATAAGAAATAGGGACTAGGGACATTAAATAGGTATAAGTTCAAAGGCAACCAATACTACAAAAATATAAACCTTACTAAGTTTCAAAGGGGGAAAAAAAGGCAACCAGCCTTTATAAAGAAGCTCTCTCTGGAAGCTACAATGAGAAATACATAGAAGCATAATAATAGGAGATATTCAATCCAAGACAGGTCAAATGGACTAAAAATAAATAAGAATATACTAACAATATTCAGGTGGAGGTTTTAATGCTGAAAGAAAACCCTATTTACAACAGTAACAAAGAAGGTGAAGTATTTATGAATAAACTTAACAAGAACTGTGCAGCACAGATAATACTTTAATAACCTCCTGAAAGACCCAGAAGTATTCTTGACAAGTGGACATATATCCTCTGTGTTTTGATAGAAGACTCAGTATCATAAAGTTATCAAGTCTTAATAAATCTTTCAAAAAATCGTATAGAAAAATGGGCAGAAAACATGGCCAGATAGTCTAAAAAAATAAGTAAAACAGCCTTTAAATTTTCAAAAACATGTTTAATTTTACTTCTAAGAAGATGGATGCAAATAAAACCACACTGAAACACTCCTTCTTTCTCAATTAGAAAAAAATTAAAAAGTTTGACAGCTGTTGAAAGCAGATACACACAGTGGTGATGGGAACGCAGAAAGGCACAGCCCTACAGAGGGGGATGCGGCACTGTTTTTAATACAACCGTATATGCGTTTACCTCTTGACTCAGAAATCCTATAACTAGGAGTTTACTCTGAAGATATCCTCAACAATATGCAATATATTTGTACAAGGTTTTTTATTGAAGCACTATTTGCAATTGCAAAATTATAAGAATAACTGAAATGCCCATTCATAGAAGAGATCGAATAAATTATGGTGCATCCATATACTGGAATACTATAAATTCGTGAAAACAGAATGGAAAAATCTCTCTGAGGATATATTTTAAAATGAAAATCATATTTTTAATATTTTTTTTAACTTTAGAGACAGGAAGGGGGAGGGAGAAAGAGAAAGGGAGTTAAACATCGATGTGGGAGAGAAACAGGTTGGTTGCCTCTCGTATGCCCTGGCTGGGACTGAATCTGCAATCCACGCATGTGCTCTGACAGGGAATTGATCCAGTGACCTTTCATCTTTTGAGATGATGTTCAACCAACTGAACCACACCAGTCAGGGCTGAAAATGACTGAAAATAAACAAGGGTTGGGGGGATGGGATATTTTAAGTAAAAAAGAAACCAAGTGCAATATAGTATACATATAGTATGCTACCTTTTGTGTAAAAAAGTAAGAGAAATAAAATAAAGACACCTGGGTGTTATTGTACCAGGAAACACAGGAGGTTAAAGCAGACACAGAGGAGGCTGGCTGTCTCCAGCAATGTGGGCGAGGAGAGGATGTGGGAAGCAGCGACACTTGTCTGTGCAGGCTTTTTGAAGTTTTGGCTTTTGGAACTATGTTAATGCATTGCATGCTGAAAAACAAAACTAAATTAACGATGATGAGGAAAAAAAATATCAAACCTAAAATGGAATCCAAACAAATAAACCAGGGCTGGGGGGATGGGATGGAATGAGCCCAAGTAACTTTGAATATAGGCAGAAAGAGTGGAAAAATACATTGAACTCTAGTTGGCGGGTTTGTTTCTGCAGTAGTATGATTTAGCAATTCTGAAATTGCCTTCTGTGTAACACAGAATTTAACAAATGAGTTAATCCATTGAGGATAATGGGAACTATATCTCTCGCTGTTGGGAAAGAAAGTTGTAATATTGAAACTGGGAAGACTATAGTGAACCTCATGTTGAATTAGAGTTAGAGGTATCAACATAAACACATTATTTTTAAATATGTCTAGATAGCTAGATTCACACTTCTGTATCAATAGGAATAGCTGTCGATATATGTGTCTGTCCTGGTTTCTGCCAGTCCTCACAAAACAATACCCTTTCTTGGGCCAATTTGCAGTTCTTTATTCAGGGGGGGAAAGGTGTGAATAGATTTGTTTGGAAAAGTGAATTTTGGAAATAAACATAGATGATTTCAAGTCACAAGTAATTCTCATCCAACCACAAGCAGGAAGGTTGTGAAACCACTAAGGAAAAATTCAAAAACCCACTCAGGTCTCAAGAGGAGTCATGTTTCTTTCTGGATGACATTTATTTACTTTTAAGAACACGGCCACATGATCAGTTCATGCTATTGTCTACAGATATGTAACCTGGGGAGCACATACATGCAGCATTTTAAGTATCCCTGGAACAGTCCTGGAAGAGGAGACACTTCATAAGGAGCAGAGAGGCCAGTGTCTACAGAGACTGCCTGACTCCTGACAACTTTCCTGGCCTGCTCGCCTCCTTTTTCCCACATTGCCTGTGTCCTAGCCTCATGGAACAATGTCCAGTTCCTGAAAGCACCGGGTTCCCTCTCTCTTCAGCACTTGTATTTATTTCTAGAATGAGCTTCTCTGCCTCATCACCCTAGTCGGTTTGAGTCGCGTCCTCTCCACAAACCCTCTCCCTCCTCTGGGTCCGCCAGCACTGTGAGCCCCTCCATTGCAGTGCCCCTCTGCGCAGGATTCTGGGTGTTTGGGCTCAACGGCAAGCTTTGCGTTTCTCCGAACTACATGTTTACGGTTTCAAGGAGCAAGAAACAGGTCTGCCAGAAATTCATAAAGCCTTATCATTTTGCTGATCTTTGCTAAGTGGAAGGACATTTTAATTAACACGGCTATTCTCCCAAGTTTTAGTTCTGAGGGCACTAATTTGATTTTCAAAACTGAGAGCGCTTGAACAATGTCTGCACAGACCTATCCATTCTTTTCTGCTAAGCCCTTCCATGTTTTTCTGGGTTCTCCTTGAATGTTTTTCTGAAGGCGCAGGGTTTCCAATGTTTGGGACTAAATTAAGTGTGCATGATGGTTGACTTTCATGCTGCTTGAAACGACGGTTTATTTTTTTAAATATTTATTTATTTATTTATTTATTTATTTATTTATTTATTTCAGAGATGGTAAGGGAGAAAGAAGGGGAGAGAAACAAGATGTGAGAGAGAGCCCCTGACTGGTTGCTTTTTGTATGTGCCCTGACTGGGGACTGAATCTACAACCTAGGCATATGCCCTGACTGGGGATCGAACCAATGACCTTTCACTTTGTGGGATGATGCCTGTCCAATTGAGCCACACTGGTCAGGGCAACAACATGTTTTAGACTGTAATGGAATTTTATTTGGGTCTTAAATTTTCAATGAAACATCAATCATAGAATAACATAAATTCTGGGCTTGTGCTAATCACTTTTCAGGTTAGCTCATGTAATTCTTATATGTTATTATGCATATGTATTATCTTTTTATAGATGAAAAAATTAAGTCATAAAAGGGTTACATAAATTGTCCAAGAGAAATTGAAGTGTAGTGATTGAAAGCGCATGCTAGAAACAGACCCCTAAGTTTGACCTATGCCATCATTTATCAGTTATATAATCTTGGGAAGTTTACTTAGTTTTCTTCTGACTCACTTTTCTCATCTTTAAAATGGTGATAATAATAGTACTGACCTCACAAAAGTTATTGTGATGATTAAGTGACTCAGCAGAGTGCTGGAACATAGTAAGTTGTGTAGCACTGTTAGCCTATGATCCCAAAATTGGGAAGTGATGAAGCTGGAATGTGTGCCCAATTTGACCCACAAAACTGTTCTCACAACTACTTATGTGACCTAATCTGATCAATCCAAATTCTCTCGTACTTTTTCTCCTAGTTTAATACTCTTGGATATCTCCCTATTGATTTCAGGATAAAGACCAAATCCTCTGATGTAGCTTATCACTAGGGGACTAAATTGTCGTTTGCCCGGGATGATCCCAGTTTATGTCTGTTGTACTGGCATCCTGATCCTTTTAGCATTTGTCCAGAACTTTAGTTTAGAAAATATTTTAAAAATACAATTATTTTATAAATCTACTGACCAATTCACTGGTCAGTAAACACATATATCAAATTTATATAACTTTAATATTTTAGTATCCCCCCCAAGGTAAAAAACATCCCTATTTGGAAGATAAATTATATACGCCCCCTACGTACAACACTCTTCATAAAACAGGCTGTTTCCCTCTTCAGTTCATTGCTCTTTTCTCTCTTCCCATGTACTTTCATTGAATTGATCACAATCTTCCAACTGAATCTTGCCTTTGCACAAACTGTCCCCTTTAGGAGGACGGACTCCCTTCACTAGTCTGTGCCTTCAGCGTGCAGCATAAATGGCAGCTCCTGGGGAAACCTCCCTTGATTCCTCAGGTTGAGTCGGGGCTCTCACATGGCTCCTGGCACCGGGTCTCCCTCTGTCAAGGCCACTCTGCGTTGCGTATGGTAATTATAGTCTCGACTAGGGTCTCCTTGAATGCAGCACCTCGCATAGAGGTGATCGTTTAGATTCTTTCCTCCTTTCTTTAGTAAATGGATGAAAGAGCGTTAGTATTTTCCCTCTCATTTCCCCACTATATATGGAAGCAGTTTAAAGGTAAATTTCATTCTTCTGTTTGGAGAGGATCTTCAAGTTCTAAAAATGCAACACTTCAGTTTCCTCTTCTATGGCACAGGAAATAAAGCAAAGGGATTTGAACACTATTGCAAAAGTAAGGCCAAGTTATGAACATTATTTTAGAGCTCAGATGCAGAGCTTAGACAGACCCTGGTGCTGACCAGGGTGGCCAAGGTGGTGTGAAGAAATGCTTACCCCGCCAGTTGGTGTGGCTTGTCTAGCAGAGCTCTGGCTGCATTGCTGTGCCTACTTGTGCCTCCACATTGCGCCTCTGTGCAGGGTGCAAAATGCACAACCGCACACAGTGACCCTGGCTCTCTCACTTGCATCCTAACAACTCAGACCCTAAGGCTCCTCATCGCCTTGGGAGGCTGACCTCACTTCTAGCTCCTCCAACCCCAGTCCCAGATCCTGACCCATGCCTTGATCAAGCACCTTCAACAGAAAAGTCTAGCAAGGCTCGTAAAGCAGCTTAAAATAAATGGAGTCCTGAGATGTGAATGAGAAGCGAGCAGGGGAAGCTTCTTTAGGGCAACATAGGGCAGGGCTGTGATCTGAGAGGTTCTGGCAGCTCCGTGGATTTGTGTGCAGAAACCTGGTTGTCAATGGGTGATGTTGGAGGTGGCGGTGGTGCTGACGAATAATATCTTTTTGTGTTTCTTATAAAATATGGTAACATGCTTTGAAATTATAACCACTTATTATTCCCTTTCACATGCTCTCTCCTTCATTTAAATGTTGTGCACCTCTAGCACACCTTCCTGGTAATGCCCGTCATTGTTAGGGTTTGATACATGCCAGACCCTGGTCTCACCTTCCTAATAGCAAGGCTGGAGTTTGAGCCCAGGCTGGCTCCAGAGTCTGTACTCTAAGCACAGTACTAGGCAGCTTCTAACACACAGCTATGGCACCCATGCCCATCTGCAAGGCATGGACTGTTGCTATAGGGGAGATGAATCAAAAGCGAGTGGACAGGAGCGTGGTTGCTGAGGGTGGGGCATGATGTGGTCTGCCGGCCTGCAGGGTGTGGCGCAGAAGCATCAGGAAGCAGCCCTGCGGCCTTAGGCTGCCGAGACCGGACTCTCTGCCCCGCGGCCCCGCTGGACACACACTGCGGCTGCCAGGAGCTCGCGCTGGACAGCAGAGGGCAGCAGTGCCGGCTTTCACAGGCAACAGGAGAAACAAACACTCCAGCAGCTTGTTGATCCTACACTATTTTGCAACACAGAAATTGTTGCTTTCAACTCAAGCCAGAAATTATCTCCTGAGCAATGGAGGCCAATTTCTGAGCTGCGTCCTTACTCCGAGCTTGTCCTAACTGCAGAATGACCAGTGTAAGTGCAAGTGGGTCAGCAGACCAGCCTCACACACACACCACAGCAAAAAAAAATACAGAAACAAACAAACAAAAAATCACGAGGATGAGTAGGAAACAGACTTGCTTTTCAAAGACCTTTTAAATAAGTCTAAGGATTAATTTTTGAAAATCCACACAGCTGGAGGCACTTTGAAAACTCTTATTTAGTCCATCTTGTAAGAGATCAATTTTCTGAGGTACACTTGAATTTTCAAATTTCAAATCTTCAGGTTTGCATGTCATCATTTTTGTAAAAGGCTTTTGTAGTGAAATTTCATGATTAAAATGCATCTTAATTAGTTTTCTAAAAAAAAACCAAACCAACATCTTAAGGACCCAAGGCTCCTGAAGCCCTGCACGGTGTCACCCCTGGAGTGCCGCGTGCTGGTAGACCCCAGCTGGCAACAGCAAGTTTCCCAGCAGCTCCACACACACCCTCGTCGGTTCTGCACCTGCTCCCCTTCGATCCGACAGGATACAGCGAGCAGGGAAGGCCACACCAAACGCTGCATTAGGGTGTCCGGGGAGTCCCCAGTGTAAGAGGCAAATGCTCTCAGGAACCCTGTTGCATGATTTCCTGCCTGCAACATGGATGGTGACGGAAAGATCGCTTACCTCACCAATTATGGAATGGAAGATTATGAATATGCCAGTCATTCTGAGTTGGAGATATTCTTAGAACTGTCCTTTGGTAAGAAATTTAGGAGAGAAAAAAAAGCAACAGGTATTTTACACCCAGCACACACGCTTTCAATAGCCACGTGACCAGAGAAGGGACTCCATCGACAACAAAGGTTATCAAATCTGTGTCAATCAACCGCAGAAATTATTGATTCGGTGGTGTTTAGAGGTGGCAACAGGGATCAGGGAAGGAGAGAGTCCCAGATGCTGGTATTTAATTTCAACTGGAGAGCCATTAAGCATTTTTCATCTCAAAGGTGTCCAAGGATGATTTGATGGAGAAAAACGCTGACTCAGCTCTGACCAAATTGTCCTAAATAATCTGTTAAAATCCTTTACCTCCCTCATGACAGATGTGAAAAAAAAGGCCACACCAAAAATCCCTTCACTGTAAAATTTGAGTGCATTAATAACATAACCGTAAAGTCAGTATTTAGTGTTGGGTCCATTTAAAATGTCACTCTTTGGGAGCGCCTTAAGTGCCCCCTGGGGAACAGTGCTGGTGTGTGGGGCATTACCTTGTCAGCCCATATCCCGGGTGAGACCAGCTTAAGAGTGGGTTCTTCTGCTCTGTCCCACGTGGGCTACGGGTGACATGGGGTGACGTGGGGGCAGAGCGAGGAGAGGAAAGAAGACAAAAGAGAAAAAGAAGAGACATAAAAATGTTATCAAGTAACCTCAAAAGTCCAGCTTTCCTCATTTCATTTGCTTATATCTTCCTACCACCTTTCCTACTGGTTTGCTTCAGGTCGCACCATGGCATGGTCTCCTAAAAGGAGGGATCTAACCCACAGCGTAGGGTGCTGGATGGTGGCAGTGGGTGGACAGGGAGCCCTGAAACACCAATGTTCTTTTGTTTCTGAGACAGTATCAGTATAGATGGCACCAGTTAAATCCATGTGCCTTTGATGGGAAGTTTTTCTCCCAAGCAGATTCATTAACTAGGGTACCGACATATCGTACCTCAGTCTCCCCACAATAGAGGTGGTAAGGACAGACTCTCTTGCCCCACATGGCACAGTTCTGACAAACCCGCCTGAGGTCTATGCTTGGAGTGGAAAATGGGCAAGGGCTGGGTGACCAAGTAACGTGGCCACCGGGCACCCTCTGGAGCACAGTGAGGTAAGAGGGATGGGCGTGGGTAGGAGGGAGATAAGATAGCTGGGCTGAGGCCTTTTCATGAAATTTTGTGTGTCAGGGAACACTGTCTCCACGTTAGGTTGAGACTTTTCTGCCTGCGTTACTCCTGGTACCCTGTCCCTAACCCCAGCACCTTCTCTTCAACTACTAGCACCACTCTGCAGAGCCTTCTGAATCATATCGCTGCTGCTTTTCACCAGCAAAGCTAATTAAGAACTGTTAGAAGGGGCCTCTTCTATTTCCTCCAACTTCAGCTTTAGAATGCTCTTAAAATGCCCATGACTCTTTTTGTGGTTTTGAAGTTATATTTCATAAAAATCTCTAACCAGTTTCCATGAAGCCTCGCCAGTAAATCAACATGTAAGCACCACAAGGAAAAGCATTCTCCCACCCTCTTCCCAGGGCTCCCAAAGGTCATTGTGTTTTTCCCCCTTCACATCATTCCATGCTTAAAAGCATCATTCAACAGGCAAACAAGCATGGGAGTGAGTAAATGCTCTGAGACCTCTTGTTGTGACAGTGAGCTGACTTAAAATTAAAATGACAAATCTGGAGCCAATGACATGAGATGGTGGCGAGTGCTGTTAGGACATGCATGCACCCCCGCTGCGCTCTGTGCAGCGTGGTAAGAAACAGAAATTAGTTGAAATGGCTGGATCATGCAATTATTGAGAAAGAAGCTGCCAGGGAGAATAACGAAGCGTGAATACCTGTGTAGGTCATAGCTTCCTCCATCTTTATTTCCTGATATAGGAAAATACAAGAGTAATTCATGTTAGCATTAGGACTCCTAAAACCATTCACTATATAGTGGTCCACACACAACATCTAAATCCTAGAAAGAAACATATTGTGTTCAATACAGACAGTGCTGAAGTCCAACAGAGCCTTCTATTAGACAGGTTCAAAATAAGGATTAAAAGCTATAAATACAAAGGTTTAAGATAAAACACATAAGAGTTTTCATATGAAAAATAAGGAGGATTGAGAAAGGAGAAGAGGCCACATAAAAGCAGTAAGAAAGTGCTTCCACAAGTCTGTGTAAGTCTTGGTAAAAGTTACACTTTGGTTATTCTTAGACAAAACACTGGGAGAAAAAGGCCAATAAATCATCTCCTTTAGGAATTGTCTAGAAAGCGGAGAGGAGGACGTGAAGTCCAAGAGCAGTAAGCGGCCCCACCTGGCGAGTCACTGCACCGTGAACACGCTTGGTCAGGTTTCACTAAGGAGAGCTGTTATGTCATCACCAATAAGAGCGCTGTGTTCTTTGGGAGAAAAGTATCTTGGTGTAATATTTCCAGTGCTTCTAAGAATTAGTTTAGTTTCCATGCCTTTGTGGGCTTTTCCTTCTCCTTTTTATTTTTTTTTTTTTAAGACTTCAGGAAAAGGTCAAGAGATAAGCAAGTATCTGAAAAGATTTGAGTGGAGTGGGGTCAGTGACCAAATGACCTGCTTTGCAAGTCAGGACCGGACTCTTCCGGCTGGCAATTCATTTCGCTAAGGTGTTAACTGAGAAGTGTTGACGGGTAGCTGAGATGGGGCCTCTCTTGCAGGATTTATAATTTCTGATGGGACTCTCACAGCTCGAAAGCCTTTAGGAGCCTATTGTGGTGGAAATGACAGGCGGTGACGTTGGCCCTTTTAGAGGGCCCTGCCACCCTTTCAAGTCACATGACTTAGGGAGCTGTCAACTTCTACCTCTGAGCGGGGCCCACAGAGATGCAGGCTGTGAGGGACACAGGTGACTCAGCCGCACAGCAGAGGTTCCCGCGAAAGGACAGCGCGGCCCGTGTGCCCAGCTCAGCGCCCTTGGGGGACGGGTGTGCAACGCTGACACCACAGCCCTAGCTGGCTTCAGCTCCTTCTCCTTCCTCCTACAGAGAACTGGTATTTACATTTCTGTAAGAACTACGAGAAAATAAGTATTCTCCTCAACTGTGGGACAGACAATGTACCCGCCATGAGCCAGAAGAGAAATAAGTTAGTTCAATGCTGCAGACCAAGGCAGGGATATCTGCTTGATTCCTATAAAGGCCCTCTTATGCTGTTAGATCCCAAGTCAATGAATGGTTCAAATATCTCGAGGTTCGGATGGAAAATGTGGCCAAAAATATCAGGTCAGCGGGTCATGGCAACAGTCGAACTGGGGGAGCTCCAAATTGTGATAAGCAAAAATAGGGTACTCTTAAAAAATAGGACACCCTGGTTTACTAAGAGTGTACCTTATGACTGTTGACAGCAATAACAAATAAATTCCCCACACTCTCATCCCATCTTCCAATGGATGTATCAATCTGAAACTGAGGTTTACTAATAGAAGTTCTGCAGGAGAGATTGGAATGAAACTCTCACAAAATCTCTTGCTTGTGTTTAATTTTTCATTAATGCACCCAGAGCTAAATTAGAGAAGAAATTGTGTTTGCAATCTCTTGGATAGTTTCCCCTGTGAGTGTCCTAAACTGTTTGTTTCTATACACATGAACATCTTAAAGGCAGGAAACTGGACAAAGCAAGGAATTTTCCAGGTAACATAGGAAAAAGTTATTTTCCTTACCTACTTCCAGGCCTTTAGGTCTTGGGTTGCACTGTTTATACCCTTGGCAGCTTCTGAGTTCCATCAGCTGAACGTGTAACTGATTCAAAATGCCCCGTTCTACTGTGTGCACTGTATTTGTGAGCTGTGGAAGAAGAGGCCAGGATGACATATGTAAGCGCATGTTCTGGTTATTCTATTTTCAATAACCTTCATAAAATGGAAATATATTGACTTACCTGATAAGGATCTGTATTCATATCAAAATACTCCAAAAAGCCAGTGGCAAACTCACAGAAAAGAAAATTATGTGTCTCATTAACTGTACGCAAACACCAGTAGGTGTTATTGTTAGAACTCGTGCAAGCACAGAACGACCCCACTGTTGGTAAAAAAGAAAACAGAACAAAAAGAATGAAAAAAATAGAGGTAGGCTAGCTATTCCAACATTGCCTCATCTTTACACTTTAAGATTCACATTTTTTTTTTGAAAGTACTCTGTGGGTAGACGTTAAAAATAAATATATTTCACCCCTCTGTGTACAGATTTGCTGTGAGACGTGAGTTGATTTGATCTTGGACTAGGTGGTTTGCTTATTTGTTTATTTGTTTGTTCGTTCACTTAATATTTACTGAGCATCTCCTTTGTGTTGGGGGTACATCATCTCACAGATGTGTTCTGGTCTCTTATCTTGAGAAACATAACAGTGTAGGAGGGGAGAAAAATGTTAAGCAAAAACAAAAGCAAAAAACTAAAACAACCCCACAAACTGTATAATTACCAATATTTTAAGTTCTATACAGAAAAAAAAATAAGCTGAGAGAGTGTATAAAAGAGTCTTAACATTGTCTGAGGCACAGGGAAGTTCTCTGTGAGAAGCAATGTTACAGCTGAACTCAGAGGGTGAGTATGGCCTGTGATAGGCAGAGGGGTTCAGGTGTGTGCAGGGTCAAAAGCCTTTTAGGGGGAGGGAACAGTGTGTGCAAAGGCCCTGAGGTAGCAGGGAGCTTAGGGTGTTGTGGTAGAGAGAAAAGCCGAGTGGCTGATGCAGGTGAGCATGGGAGGAAATGGGCCAGAGCAGCCATGGACATATTAAGGATTTTGTGAGACATGTTAAGGATTTTGCTCTTTATCCTGAGAAAAACAGGATGTCATTAAACAATAACTCTAAATCTTCTGAGCAGAACAGATTGGCAGCAGCAATGATGTCTGGGAGACACACAGGAGGTTCTGCAGAGGCTGAGTAAGAAATGATGGTGTCCGGGGCAGGATGGTCTCAGCTCAGATGGGGAGAAGCTGAGAGAGGTCTGAGGCACCTCCTGTGTTAAGTCACAAGCATGTTTCTCATGCTTGTTTCTCATGCTCAAGCACGTAACTTCATGTTTCTCAAATACTTTGTCTTTAAAGGGGCTCGCTGGTCCCGACACAACAAATCTGTTACTTCCTCAGAACCCCTGTTCTTGCTATTCCATCTGCCTGGGGCACTGCCCCTCCCACCCATGACCCCCTTTGACATGGCTGTTTCTTTGGACCCTTTAGGTTTCAGCTTAAATCTCACCTCTTCAGAAAGGCCCATTATCTCCATCCTTTGGAAGCTCACTGTTTCCCTATAGCATTACTACACTTTGTAATTATTTTATTTCACTTTTCTTTTTATGACACCTCACCTCCCACTAGAATGTAAGTGTCAAGAGGGCAGAGAATGAAGTGCATATTGTTCATTGTTGTGTCTGCAGGGCTCAGCCCATGGCCTGGCTGAGGAAAGACCCCTGGCCATCCAAATGACCCACAGAGATCCCCATATCCCATGCGAGGGAAGCACATTAAAAGTTAAATGCTGGAGAAATCAAGATGGAAGAGGAGTGAATGGAAGTCACACTAGCCTCCTCCCAAGGACCAATCTGGAATTACAACTAAATTGTGGCAAAATCACCTGGAACAAACAACTGAAAAATAGCAAGAGAGGAGCCTTATAACTTTGGACAGAGAAGAATCAGCTTTAGCACAACTTAATTGGTAAGGAGTGCGGTGGAGACTTGAGAAGGTGGGCAGGGCGCCCACGGGTGGCAGCACCAGAAGGATATTGAAATGGCCAGTTGGATCCCCCTGAGAAGAGTGGGGTCTAAACCATAAGCAAGGATCTTCAGCCTACAGCACCAGAGCCCCAAAAGTACACAGATAACAGCCAGCTGCAAAAAGCGGCAGGGTTGCTCTCTGCCAGAGACAGGTGGCTCGAGATGCAAAGAGCCTTTTAAATGGCCAAGACATAAATTTTTCTTTGCAGCCACTTACCCTGGTCTATGGCAAAGACGGGGGCAGAGTGGGCTAGAGACACCTGAAGAGAGACTGAGGAAGGAGGCTTTGGGAAGAGAACTGAGAGAGTAGCTGGCGCAATCTGGGCGTTAACTCACCCTCCTCAACATGGCAGGCAGACCACTCCCCTGAGCGGCAACAGTGTGAAAGGACATGATAGCCCTGCCACCAGGAAGGACTCTGTCCTGGCCTGGTGGTGCTAAAGCCTGACTGCTGAGTGCAGAGTAGCAGCCATAGATAGTAGATCCTGGCTAAAGGAGGTGCAGAGTGGTCTAGAGACACTTGAAGAGAGACTGGAGATGGATGCTTTGGAGGGAACTGAGAGAGTAGCCAGCGGGATCCTGGTGCTGACCGATCCCTCATATGGCAGCAGCCATCTTGCTCAGTCTGACCACTCCCCTGAGCGGCAGCAGCATGAGAGGACCCAATAACCCCACCCCCAAGAGGGACTCCAACCCACCCTGTGGTGTCTAAGCCTGACTGCCTAATGCAGAGTGACTAGATTAATAGCAGAAGGAGCCAGCCACAGGCAGTAGATTCCTGGAAGTCTCGAACAGACTGCCTAAGGTCAGACAAGGTCAACAGCTGACATTATCAGAGGCAGATCCAGAAAGAAAAGACAGCAGTCTCCTACTATAGAAGTACACACCACAAAGTCAGGAAATGAAGACAGATCAATTTAGGAAGCAGAAGCAAAAAAGAAGAGTCTCACACATAATGGGAAGACAAAGAAATACCCCTCAGTCAAAGGGAAAGGAGGAATCTCCACAAAGAGAACTAAATGAAATAGAGGCAAGTAAACTATCAGGTACTGAGTTCAAAACAATGGTTCTAAGGAAGCTCAATGAGGTCAGTGAGCTTAGAGAGAATTACCAAAAACTAAAGGGAAACTACGAGGAACTTACTGCGAACTATATCAGCATAAAAAAGGACATAGAAACTATGAATAAGAGACAAGAGTAAATGGAAAATACAATTTCTGAATTGAAGAACACAGTAGAAGGAATCAAAAGCAGGCTAGATGAAGCAGAGGATCGAATCAGCGAGCTGGAGGATAAGGTAGAAAAAAGCTCCCAGAAAGAGCAAGAAAATGAAAAAAGACTCAAAAAGAATGAAGAGGCATTTTAGGGATACCAGAGGAAGAAGAAGAGGAAGGGACAGAGAATCTGTTTGAAAAAGTAATGAAGGAAAACTTCCCTAATGGGAGGAGAGAAGAAGTTGCACAAGTCCAGGAAGCACAGAGGGTCCCATTCAAGATGAACCCGATGAGGCCCACTCGAAGACACATCATCATTAAAATGGCAAATATCAAAGACAAAGAAAGAATCCTGAAGGCAGCAAGGGAGAACCAGGTAGTAACATATAAGGGAGCCCTGATATGGCTAGGAGCTGACTTCTCAACAGAAACACTACAAGCCAGAAGGGAATGTCAAGAAATATTCCAAGTCATGAAGAGCAAAGGGCTGCAACCAAGACTGCTCTACCCGGAAGGCTCTCAATTAAAATGGAAGGTGAAATAAGGAATTTCTCAGGCAAAAGGAGGCTAAAAGAATACACCTCCACCAAACCAGCATTGCAAGATACGTTAAAGGGACTGCTTTAAGAAGATAAAGAAAAAGAGTCTATGAATACCCAATTCCTTTCACAGTCACCAACACTTGATATTACCAATATTTTTAATAGTTATTTATCTGATTGTGACAATGATCTGATTGTGTTATTTTAGTTGTTACTTCATTATTGGTTGAAACTAAACCTGTTTGTGTATATTTCTTGCCTATTTCTGTTATTTTTAAAAAGCTTTAAATAACTTTTTGGTATTCTTTATCCATTTTTTGACTAAATGTTTGCAGAATTTTTTCCCTAAAAAAATAAATTAACCCTTTTTTAGATGTGTTGCAAATACTTTCCTATTCCATTACTTGTCCTTTAGCTTTTTTTATATGTATATCGCTGTATAGTCTTAAATGTTTAATATAGTCATATTGTCAATATTTTACTTTATAGCTCCTGGGTTTGAATATTTTACTTCAGGGTAAGAAAAATACTTGTTTGTATTTTCTCTTAAAACTCCTTAGATTTTATATATTGATTTTTAACTCACCTGAACATTTTTTGTATAACGTGTGAAACAGGGCTCTCTATTTGTTTTATTTCAAATAATAGTGGTCCATGCACTTTATTTGTTGAGTAAGCCTTATTTTCCCCATTGATTTGAAATACCAATTTAATCATATATTACATTGTTAGACAGACAGTATGTTTGTTTCTAGAATGCTCATTTTATTTTATTGATCTACTTGACTATTTCTGTGCTAGTATCTTGTTGTTTTAATTACTAAGACTTTATAATGGATTTAAACTTTTAAATATTTTATAATGGATTTTGATATTTAAAAAATAAATAAATAAAATCAATCTGCATTTAAAAAAAAAGAAAAGTAATAAAGAAAGAAGGAACTCCTACCTTTTGCAACAACATGAATAGAACTGGAGAATATTACGCTAAGTGAAATAAGCCAGTTGGTGAAGAAAAATACCATATGATCTCATCTATAAGTGGAATCTAGTCAACAAAATAAACTAATGAACAAAATAAACCACAGGCATGGAAACATGGAGCAGATTGAAAGTGACCAGAGGGGGTGGGGAAGGAGGACAACGGTGGAAAGAAGGGGAAGGGACTAGACAAAGAACATGTATGAATGACTCATGGACATGGACAACAGCCTGGGAATTGACTGTGGGAGCAGGGGTAGAGGGTGGGATGGGTGCAGGAGGGCAAGGGAGGAAAAATTGAAAGAACTGTAATAGACTAAACATGATTAAAAAAAAAAAAGAAAATAGGCCAAAGGAGGTAGGCAGAAGCCACATCATAAAGCACTTTGTGTTTAAAAAAAAAAATGCTATGCCTTGAAGAGTTTGCTCAGCCTTCTAGTGACTGTAGACTTGATTGCAAACATGGACACTAAGATAAGAAGCATCGACATGGAAAAATGAAACAAAGATTCTCATGGCAGGCCCTAGATCCCCGCCAAAATAGTACGGGATTCCTGGATGTCTCCTAATCCCAGTTTGAGAAACACTAACTGGGGTGGTGTTTTGAGGTACTCCATGGAATGATGACGTTTCAATCGGATAACATGCCATAGAATTTAGAGTGTGATTTCTCTGTGACCCAGCCCACTACAACAAATATAAGCACTGATTTAGAAAGTACACAGTTGTGATTATTCTGTATCCTCGGCAATTCCACGTAAAATCAAATATTTTGCAGAGTCCCTAATGATATTCTGCAAGCAAGGTGCTAGGTATTAAAGGGGACTGGGACTCAGTGGGATATCGTTCCTGCATTTAAGAAACTTTTACTTCCTTTTATTATACTTAGGGTATACACTTCAAATAGAGCACAGATGACATGCATGTGAGGTAAAGTTGTTCATCTATTATCTAGCTGTTTTGTTATAGAGTGGTCTTCCTGGGGGGAACTCGGTCAGGGGTTGGGCACTGTGTAAATTATCAGGAGAAAAACCCAGGAACAGTTTGGTATTTTCAAACAAAATAAAAAAAAATTTTCCAAAGAAAAAAAGTAATTTTTGGCAAAATGATTCTAATGGCCAGTATAGCATATAGCAGGATGCTCTTGTCTTGGATGATTCTGGAGTCCTGGTTGCATGTGAGTGAGTTCCTCATCTGAGTAATTGTAATACGAGTCACTGTGTCTCTGCACCATGGTGTTTAGAAAAATAAGGGACTTACGGTTCCAGAAGGGGGCCGTCTGCCAGTGGCTGTTGTCGTGTGTGAAGCAGGTCAGGCCAGGAAGGCTGCACTCCTCTCCCTTCCGCTGGCGTTTCTTCTCCTTCCTCTCTTTCTTCCTCCTACGGTTCTCCTTGAAAAGCTGTAGTTTGCTGTCCACTTCTTGAGCAGCCTCCCTATTCCCATAGAAGGGATTTTTTTAATGACCAGAAAGCACCTTCTTAGTTAAAAATAGTATTGTTACGAGCCTCACACAAATATTCAGACACATAATAATAGATATACAATAATCGAAGAACTTTGTTTTCCACAGAGGCCTACAAATATTATCAGCAATAGTGAGGACAAACTCATTGTGCAGCTCTCTTAGAATTCTAAGGAGCCTTAACAGCATCAATATTTAATTTCTTATTTACATGTAAACATTGATGCCAATAAATGTCAACATGAATCAGCAGATTCTGCTCGCTACCTCTTTGGATAAATGGCTTAACTTCCTGGTAGCTCAGCACCTGTCAGCCATGACCTCACCAGCTGGGTTCGATGGCTTGCATACAAGCTTTCTAAAATTCTTAGACAAATTTGACAATATAGGCTTGGGAAGAATTGTCCGGGTTTTTTTTGTTTGTTTTTTTCTTTTTGTTATTTTGGTCTTACCAGAAGAGCTCAAATTTTGTTGAGACTCAAATACTACATCCCTTTCCCATGCAAAACTTACTATTATTTTAAAAATATGTATATTTCTTCCAATTTTCAGAATTCACCATGATGCCCGGCTGCTCTATAGAACACGCAGACCTAGTCCAAAGAGGGCATCTCCCAGTCACCATGCACACAAAGCCAAGCCGTGCACAGAGGAAATCCAGGTACTACACACCCACTGGCGAGAGCACACACAGCATTAGAGGACTACTCATGGCTCCCCGAGGGGAGCCCGTGGCATCACCACGCTCGCTCGGCCAGGTGTGGGCTTGCTTTCCAGTTCTGGAGATGTATGCTTTCCCAGGCGCACCCGCTCTTTTCCAAGCCGGCCCCCTTGGAATACAGGAGTCGCTGCAGGCTTTTGGAACTGCCTAGCAGACAGTGCTTTACTCCCAGCAAATGTGGGCCACAGAGTTATAATACTTACTTGAATGGGTGGAGGTGGCTCTTTAATTTCTCTTGCTTTTTTACACCTTTCTCTTTATTGTAATAGCTACAGGCAAGAAGATGAAAAAGTGAGTCTTCATAATCATGCATTTGTTAAAGAGTTCATTTTATAAAAAGAAGGCAGTTACTTTGTTGTAACTATCTGAACTTAATGGGACTTGTGAATGGGTTTTTTTTTTGGGGGGGCGGTCTGTGTAGGTTTATGACATTTTATTTGACCTCAGTAATTTAGGTCATGACAAATATTGATCATAAATTCATTTTATTATTCTTTCTATTGGTAAGAGAGAGAAACAAGCCCAATGCTAATCAATGTAGCCTGTGCAAAAAATGAGTTTGGAAGGGAGGCTGTGGGTGGTTCCACGCTCACCTCTGCTTAGTGCAGACACATTCCTCGGGCTTCCTCCGCTTCAGGTGCCCTCTCACTTCTCTTAAATTCTTAATTTTATCTTGCAAAGCTTCAATCTGGAAAACATGCACTTCAACAGTAAAATTTCTACGGATTATCTGTGCAAGGTACCTTTATTTTCACCTTGTTTTCCATGTGCCATCGTTATAGCTGTTCATCTGAGATGATAGTTAATTTTGGAACTAACCGAGCGAAGACTATATCTGCCTCTATAATCCAATTGATGTCTTTTCATAAACATTAACAGACGTCTCTTTTGTAACTGAATTATTTTCTCACAAGGTCTTCAAACAGTCGTTGAGTTGGTCCTCATTCTTTTCTCACACTCTATTTTGTTCTTAGTCAGAACTATCACCAGAGAATGAGAAATACCTTGCTATTCTATTTTTCACATCATTATAAAAAATGGAGGGTACACACAATATGTACTACCAGTAGGGCTGGCAAGCCAGGCTTGCATTGGGATTATTCCTTCCAATCACCTAGCCATGCTCACCTCTTTATCAATGTATGCCTTGTGGTCTTTCCATGCTCTGGCCGACTGGTACAGTTCTCTCTCACAATGGATTGTATCATTTGGAAGAATAAAGCACCTGTAAAAACAAACAAGGAATGTTAGCAATAGGTCTATATTCTCCCTAGATCAGACGAGATCGGGCACATTCAGGGTGGTATGGCCATAGACAGGAGCAGGTCTTTATTCTAATATTAAAAACAATATTAGAAATAGTAGAGGGAACTTAATTGTCCTCTAAACCGTTAACTTGTATAAGCTATAGTGTGGAGCTGAGCCATAGACGAGGGTAAGTGGGAAGGTCTCCTGTCTACCGGCGGGCGAAGGACGCTGTCAGGGAGCTGCCGCCGCGAAGATCACTTGTCAAGGCAGTTTTCAGTGTTCACGTTCCCATGAAAAGAGAAAACCCCAAAACTCCAGCTTTGAAAGCCCCATCAAATATTGTAGGGAAAAAAAATGAGGTTTTCACAGTTATAATGGAAATAACTTGTTTGACAAAATGCAGTTAGAAGCAGGTTAATCATCCCATTTATTTCTTCACAAAAAGCCTGCCTGAAGTACCCCATTATGTCTCAAGCAGAGGCAGCCCCAGCAATAGAAAGCTAGTGGGTTATGAGGTCGATCGATAACATAAGAGAAAGAAATCCTGGTCTAAATCTCTGAATGACAGGCACCTGGAGACGAGTCCCAGGGATAAACCTCTTGGTAGAGTTCATGGTATCCTGCCTCCCCAAAGTGATGAAGTGAAAGACAAAGCAAAGATTTTGCCAACACAGTCCGAAAGAAATTACTTCCCTGTCTGGAGAGTGAGTCCATTTTAGTCCATTAAAGCTGTGGGGAACCATCTCCCTCCTGTCTCTGTGCCTTCCACGGCCCTCTGTGCTCCTCAGGATCTGGACAGGGGAGCTGTTCCTGCATCTAACGCCCATTCCCAACCTGCATCATCTCTCTGGCACCTTCTCCAGACCCATAGTTCTCCCTTGATCTCCGTTTAATTTCGGAGGCTGTGAGGGCAACTGCTCTGAGTCACAGCGACCACGTACCATGAAGAACCCTTACCCAGTCCAACCAATGGTTCCCCTGTTTTCTAGATGCTCACAAAGGTAATTGCTCAATAGCAGAGCTCCATGCCTGCTAAGTCAAGGTGTGACAGAATCACTCTGGCTAAATTCCCAGCTGATCAGCCTTAATGTGAAACTGAACCCAAAGCACATGTCCAAATCTACGATTGTTTGGGCTCCTTACCGCTCCTCTAACCCCTACTGTTATGTAGGCCAGCCCTCGGACTTCATATTGCTGAGTGACATATTGTAAGGGGACCAAATAGTGGTACTATGCGGAACTAAATCCCCGAGAACACATAAAGCCTTCCTACTTGTGGGTCACTCGGACGGTGGTGGGCAGGCCCACAGCATTGCCACCGTTGGCCAGCGTGGTGTCCCCATGGGCACCGCTGGCAGCTTGGCGACCTCCCGGCCCCTGGTGGCCTTCATCATGACGTTTGGCAATGTTTCTTGGCTGCAACACTTGCAATTCTTCTTCTTCCAGGTTTATGTCATATACTTCGCCTTCAAATTCGACTGACAAGGAACGTGTCTGCCGCGTGTGGACAAACCTGGGCTTGTACTCTGGAAATAGGGAAGATATGTTAACATGGCGTCCAGATGTACTTGAAGAGAGAAGAAAATGATCACCTGGCTGGAGGAGCACTTTGGAAAGGGGCACACGGTACACAGAGGAGCATTAGAATGGTGGGAGCAGCTCTCTGGATTGGCCGCTGAGAGGGGTGGGATCTAGTCCTGGCTTTGCCCCTGCACTGTGGTGTGAAGGCCTCATGCCTCACGCCCTTCAACCCTCCAGGGAGGGGAGACCTGGGTGTTCACTAGATCCTTTCCACTAATGGTGGCTGTGAAGGTCCACAGTGAGTTTCCAACATGAACTGCTAAGGCAGTTTGAATAAAATAATAGCCCCCATTATGGTATTAATAATGGTGACTATCTTTTTACCTTTTGCTATATATTGTTCATCTCATACTCATCTCTAATCTACAATCTTGGAAGGCAGGTATTATGATAAATCTTTAAAATATCGGATTATCCAAACAGGCTAGTGAATTTGGTGTTATTTTATGGATGAGAAAACTGAAGCCCTGAACATTACCCCTATTTTGCAAGGTTATGGAGCGAGGTTCAGATATTATGTAATTCAGAGTCTAAAAACTAAAAGAGTCTTCCTCCTATCTTAGGACGCTTTTTCAAAAAGGCAAATATCATAGACACCTGCTATCTGCACAAATAATAGAGGGTCACTCTAAGAAAAATTAAATTTGGCAAACGCTTCCGTCAGCCAACTGACACTTAACACCTGGCAGATGGAGGGTCATGTCAGGGGGAGGCCAGCTTGTCTTCTGGCCACTCCAGGCCACTGTCAAGGCTCGTAGTGTGCTGGGCCCGAGCCTTAACATGCAAACATTGGTCCCTGCTAATCAGATGCACATAGGCTCTGTGGGGCATGGGCACGGGCCTTTCACCCTAGAACAGGGAGAGGGGGAGCTCACTGGCTGTGCAATCAGAGCTGCCCCTCTCTCTGCACAATCCTGCTCCGAGGGCAGTTTCCAGACAAGGACGTGCCTCCTGATCTCAAATATACAGGACTCCACGTGGCTTGAACAAGTACCCCAGGCTTCTTTAGTTTGTGCTCCGTAATGAAAAATCAATGTGCTTTGTGGACAGCCCGTGGGAGCGACATCCAGCTTCCTGGGTGAGAGGAGGCTGCCCCTACCTCTCAGCTGAACATGGCCATCAGTTTCTGTTAAAGGATCGTGTCAGCGGTCCTTGTCCTTTGTGGGTTTTCCATTTGATATCTTCATGTGAAACATGAAACTGGGCATTTGCTCTCAGGGAGGAAAGAAAAAAATCTCCCAAATTAATGGCTCTCAGCCTTTTGAGTTATTAATGCTTTTCATAATTTGTTGGAAGTTATGAACAAACAGAAAAATATGCATGTACACATAGAATACACTTAAAATTTTGGATACGATGTCAGGGGGCTCACGATCTCCTAAAGTCCATCTGTGGAATTCAGGATAAAAAAAATTCCATTTTAAGGACTTCCACTGTTCTAGTGAATGAGTTGGTTTCCTAATTGTGGACACAGAATTGAATTTAATGTATCTTGGTGATTTCCAAACCAGCATAGAAAGGAATGACCACAGAAATGAGTCACTGTTTATGTTCTGCCACTAGGTGGCAGTAGACACCCATTCTTTTATGGACAGTACAGGACTGGGTTTTCCTGTTTGTATCATTGTAGCAATCTCTGATAAGACTTTTTATAAAGAAAATAACTGGGCAGTGATTTTCACACTGAATTCAACTATTTTGTCTCTGTCAGTCAATATATATTTAAAAAAATATATTTCCCTAAAACAGATATGCCTTTAAAAATAATATTTATGTTTTTCCTATTAGTTAAATGAATAAGCACTGAAACCTTGGATTTCTTTCTTTTTCTCTCTTTTTTTTAAAGCATCATAAGGCAGACAAATCAGCACATTACATTAACATAAGACAATGTAACATAAGATAACCAACCTGAACTATGTACCTTTTACCCCTTGATAGCTCTTATGTGCGTGTTGTATGGGTTTTGTATCTGGTGCTTTTACTGAATAGACAGGGTCCGGCAGAAGTAACCCCTGCTTGAGTGTGGATGGTAGAGTAATAATATGGGGTGTAATAATTTATAGTTTTAATCTGAATATTTCACCTAAAATGTCATATTGGTGTGCTTGAGTGTGACATTGTTATGTTACAGAATTTATATGTTTTAGATTTTGTAATAAAAAAGGGACATTATTTGTGCCAGCCCTTCTATTTGTATTCTATGGTTAGTTGAAAATATTCACAAAGCAAAAACTCAATTTATCTTAGCTTTTGTATTATAGACAGAATGATTATTCACTTCTAGTCCTAAAACTATGCATTGCTAATAGCTAAAATGTGGACGGAGCAAGCCTTTCCTCTCTGCCGCGTCCATCCCCAAAAGCCTTGGCCCGCCTCTGAGACGGTCCCCGCCTGTGCCTTACTCGGAGTCCCCTCGTTTCTCAGGAACTGCCTTTGACTCTTCCTCTGGCTCCTGCTGGCTCGATAGCCAGACTCCCCACAATTGCACTCTTTGTCCTTGCTGTGGAAGCCGCGGGAGTAGAGGTTCCGCGTGCTCTGCCTGACGGTGAGCAGGTCACCGGATCCTTTGCACTTGTGAATTCGAAGCTTGCCCGATGTATCCTCGATGCACTGCCACTTCTGCAAAAGCCAACCAGGTGTTTTTTATTAAGCGCTGCTGCTTTGGTTCTGAGAAGCCCTGGCAACCCCATTAGAGAGAGTGCATGAAGAAAGGCCAGCTTTTAAGAGGCCCTGCACTACGTCGGCTCCCAGACCTCCTTCACTGCAGGCAAATACAGATGACAACCAAATCATTGGAAATCAGGACTACCTCAATGACACCAGAGCCAAAAACCGATATATAAATCCTCAGCATCCAGACTAAACAGAGTCTTGAATGAAACACGTAAGAGCCCCGCATTCACCAGGCCACAGAGCACGGCCGTGAGGGCTGTTTTCCCCAGGCCCCTCTTCCTCTGGAAAAACAAACGTGGCTGCTTTGTTCTCAGCCCCTGAATTTCTAATGCGAGCTAGAGAAGAGTGGCACAGGAGCAAGACAGAGATGACTTTAATCTGAGTCCATCCCAGGGCGAGCCAACTTTCACACAGCTCAGACACATCCGGTTTTCCTTTGTGCCTTCCCTTATCCTGCTACTGACACTGCACACGCAGCAGAGAAGCTGCTCCTGAAGAGACATGGTCCACCTTCCCAAGAGGCACGCACGGGGAGCAGGCACTGGGTTTTCTGGTTGGACTCTGATCAGGATGCTGCAGATGTAAAGTACAGCATAGGGATGTAGACAATAATATCATAACTAGGTATGGTGCTGGGTACTGGAAATAGCAGTGGGAGCACTTTGTAAAGTATATGGTTGTCTAACTGCTATGCTGTGTACCTGAAACTAATACAAAATATTGACTGTAAACTGTGGTTTTAAAAAATGTTTTTAAAAAGCCCTGGCTGGTGTGGCTCAGTGGATTGTGGGCTGGCCTGTGAACCAAATGGTCGCTAGTTCGATTCCCAGACGAGGCTCATGCCTGGGTTGCAGGTCAGGTCCCCTGATAGGGGGCATGCAAGAGGCAACCGCACACAGATGTTTTTCTCCCTCTCTTCCTCCCATCCCCTCTCTCTTAAAAAAAAGAAAAGAAAATTTTGCCTGGCCCTGGCCGAGTAGTTCAGTTGGTTAGAGTGTTGTCCTGATATGCCAAGGTTGTGGGTTCCATCCTCAGTTAGGGTACATACGAGAATTAACCAGTGAATGCATGAACAAGTGGAACAACAAATCATTATCTGTCTGTCTCTCTCCCCCACCTCCTCTAAAATCAATAAAAAAAATCTACCCCAAAGCTTTCCAAATAAAAAAGACTGTTGCAGATACTGCCGGCTTAACGCTGGACAACTCAGCAATCGGTCTCAGTATTCCTATTTCTTGAGAATCAATCTGGCTGAAATAATAGTGCTTCATGTGGGGGTCCTTTCATAAGATCTTCCATATCTGAAAGACCTAATTATCATCCTTTTACTTTTTATTTCCCCCTTCTCCCTTCCTAAAATGTTAATTGGAGAAGCAGAAAAAAATATTGGCCTTAATTTTAAGCTCATCACAGTTGTTACAAAATGCTATAGTGTAGTATTATCAAAGCTCTTTTTTTCCCTTTCCTTATGTGAATATCACCAGTGTGTAATTATTTACAAATGCTTTTCTTTAAACAGATACATTTCTAACCTGTGGCCAAAGCAATAATAATTATAAAATTATGTGTTTGTTTTGCCAGTTATATATTTTCACATATATGTTAAAATAAATACAAAATTATTAAATAAAAGATGTTCTTTTATGCACCACATAAAGCCTCACATAGCCACTTGTTGTACCTGTACTATACTTTGGGTAACTTGTCGATTTCCAAGTGTTTTAAAGCAAGGTTAAGTTTGGATAAGGGTCTCAGATGGCTTGGTCGGCAGATGAATGTCACTCACTCATGGACAAAATGGTGTGAACCATTCACAGTGGACCAAGGTTCAGAACCACAGTTTGTTTTCTCTTACCAGAGCCATCTGCCTTTAGTTAAAGTGTTGAATTATCTGTTGCCTTTGAATTTCTACCATATTGTTCCCAAATCCCAGATATAGAGAACCAGTTCTGTGATTTTAATTTAGCCCCATACACTCTTAGTGTTACTGAATTTTTTTGATTACTCAAGCCACATCAAGTTACACCCTTTTTTTGTGGCTTGGATGGAATGCCTGGGAAGTACATCTCCATCCTGAAAGGCGGAGCTCAAGAGACAAGGCAATTAACTACCTATTTACAAAGCCATGAAAAAGCAATGCAAATAAGAACAGTCTAAGGATTCACTAAGGTAGAGATGATTTAACTAGAAGCAAACAAACAAAACCCCAAAATGTGAAGTCAGCTTGATGAGGCACACTAAATTAGGTTAGAACAATGATTTTCACACTTGACTCTACAGTAGGATTTTCAAAAGCTCCCCTGGTGATTTTAATGTATAGTTGGTGTTAAGAAGCACTGCTTTAGATTTGCAAAGTCTGGTTCCTGGACCTCTCTGCAGCTGGTTCCCATAAGGATGGCTAAGTAGTGCAGACGGATGAGTCTTTGAGAAGGCTGTAGTATTCTTGAGTGTGGGTGTGATAGGAATCTTGTGTGAGAAAACGTCTCCAGGCAATTGGTGAAACACTGCCAGCTCATCTATACTGGAAAAACTAAGAGTAACCCACTTTTCTCACTCTCTCTCCACAGATAGTTGACTAGTGACAGATCTGAGTCTTCCTATGCTCTTAGCTGAAAACTGCTTGTGCCTTCCCATGGTGTTTGCCTTCTTGGGTGGAGACCAGTGCCGTTGGGCCTGTGTTTGTGACACTCCCAGATGTGCCCAGTTAGCTTGAGGAGGTGCCCTGAAACGTCCTCAGAAACTCAACTACAACTCCATTAAGAAATAATTACATGCCACATAGAATTTTTCCTGGTGAAAAGTGTCATCAAAATAAGCGACAACCTTTCATAGCTCCATAAAGTTTGGGAATCAGTGGTGCTTGTGGATCTGTCTTAAATCCAAATGGCTTGACACATATCTGTCCACCTAGGTGATCTCTACCTCAAGTGTTCAAAAACTGAGAGTCGACTACTTAACGCCCATAGTAGCTAAAGAGGCAGTCAGTGGGCTCCCAACTCAAGCCAAATACAATCTTACAAAGAGTTCTATCTTCTATCGGACAGAAAAATATGGCTAACTTTATTCTTGAAAAGTAATAGCTTTATGTCTTTTTGTGGTCCCAACTTATATCAACATTAGTATAAGCATTAATTCTTAAAACACACAACTATGGTGAAAACCTGCCTTTTTGATAACCACAACACATTAAAAAATTCTCCCATTTTTTTTTTTTTAATCTTGGCCTGGAAGAGCTGAGGGTACAAGCTGATGCTTGTAGAACACAAAAGCGTAGGCAGAATCTTCAGTGACTTAGCCTATTTGGAATACAACCTGCATTTTTCCATTAGCCAAATTCCTGCTGACTTCCTATGGGACAGAGATGAAAGGAAAGGCTGTTTCCTTCCTGAAGAGCTGAATTTAACCATACCTGAGATCTGGGACCGTCCTTAGCACTGATAATGCATGTGCAAAATCAAATATACATACATATATGCATGTATAGGTACAAACATGCCCACTCACATATACCCACATACACTTCATGTATACAAATACCTACCCACATTCTTGTATTAAAACAAGAGGCATGGACAAAGATGCCAATTACTTTCTATACCATGAACCCTTTGAACAAATCCTAGACCTTATTTGATAGAGTAATTAGCTAGAGACTTTGAAAATCTTCTTAGTGGCAAGTGTTCTGGGAATTTTAATGAAATGTAATTGCCACTCATTTACCACAGTCATTTTAGTGTTCGATATCATGACAATTTTTATGGCTGAGCAATAAAACCCTGAAATAGCTGCAGCTAAAATGGTCACCTTACTTAGTGCATTATGGAGTGAGGCGAAGAAAGACAGTTTTTAAAAGAATTGCTCTGAAACTCATGCCGCATGCCATTCAAATGGTCAAAATCGTGAGAGGGTTTTGCACTGCAGAAGAGTTTCAGGAAATCAGATGGAGGCAGGAACGCAGGTGAGGCAGCTGCCAATGGGACTTAGAGGCAGCCTCAGGAACAGCCTTTAACAAGTGCCCTTGCAGAAGTACTGATGTCACATTGTCTCACTTTTATCCACACTCTTGAAGTTTATCAGTAAAAGCCATTCATTACCAAATCCAATTTTCCCCAGCTTCTCTGACCACTCATTCCTTCTGCAAATTCTTTTCCTGCTGTGCGTCAAGATCGCCGGAGCCTCCTCCTGCCTCTCGGGCTTAGCCACTTAGAATGCATTCATAGGTCTGCACACCTACATATGCGTAAGGTGCTAGATTAAACTATTTAAATAATTTCTTAAATTATTATTATTTTATTTTAGCCTTTCCAACTACACTGGAACTTGGGATTAATGGCAAAAGCCATGTCTCATACTCCTGAATCGTGCCCTGTTAGCTCAGTTTCAAATCTCTCTGTTTAGTAATTATTTCTTAGCATTTTTGATTGATTACATATACCTGTAGGTTAATAACGCCTGATGAGGAAAGGAAGGCTGACTATTTTGGTACAAGGATTCCTGTGTGCAGCTAGTTTGGTGGAATCACACCTAATGAGAAATATGTCAAATGCCTTTCAGGTAATTTGGTTTAACACCATCATCAGCACCGTCATTAGCACTAGCTATTGAACTCTTTACTGGATGCCAGGTACTGGTCGAGAACACATACAAATTTATTCATTTAATCTTCACAACGACCTAATGTGCTGCCATAATTCATTTATTATAGCCGTGACTATCATCTATATTCTGCTTGGGATTTGGGAATGGCATTTTATACCCATATTAATGTGGCTTAGTGGAAAAAAATCTAGACTTTCAAGCTAGAAAAGACTGGATTTGAATGTCAGCTTTATCACATTGGTGTGTGGCCTCGAGCAAGCCAGCTAAACTAAGCTTTTGCGTGGTCCTAAGCCTTAGAGATAACATAAAGGAAGGACTCAGCAAGTGTTAGGAGCTGTTATTATCAT